ATTTTAGTTATTAATTTTAATATATTTTTATACTGTTTTTCTCTAAACTTTTTCCTCACGGGTCCTTGAACCCCAGTTTGAAAACCCCCTGCACCGTATACAAACAATGTTCACTTCATTTGTTATGATGAAGATGGAAAACGACTTAAAAGTACTTAAATTCAAATTCCTCCAAAAACATTATCAGATGGGAATTTAGATCTTACCTGCCTCCACAATGTCCTCCAGGGTTGGGAATCTCTTGCGTACTCGTGTACTGATGGAGCGCAGGATGAGGACCGATGACAGGTTTGCGTATCTCATCAGAGTTCTCCTCAGCAGACGGCCTCTTTCATCTGTGCCATGGACATTCCCGGATACCACCATCATCAGGTTATCTGGCAGGGGAAAGCTTGTGTATTGACCCCACCAGCGTTGAAACGCCTGTGTGACATAGAACCCTAACAAAGTCCACAGACCAGTTCAACTTGTTACAAGGAATCCAAGAAAGTTATGTTACTGTGGTCAGAACTTTTATGCTCACCAAGAACAAATGACATAGGGATGAGTTTAGCAAACTTGTTGCAATGACGTGCAAGTCGCTCAAACATCTCCTGTTGTTCGATATTGAGGACACACCTAAGATGCAACAAAGACTGATCACCTTCTTATGATAGATTATTGTAAAAGTGGATTATCAGAATGATTGGAAATGTCACAATACCTGTATATAACACTGATGAAGCTGTACAGTAAGCAGAAGACCATGAATTCTCTGTATATGAGCTTGTAAATACTTCCTTTCCATCGGAAGAGTAACTTTGAGAAGCCTCCAAACTTAGCATCGGCCACCTTTACCGTGTAGGATACCGTCATGGTGGAATTCTAAGGAAAAGCCAAGGAATTTAGAAGTCATCAGTTCTGTCACTAGAACAGTAATTTCTTTTTTGTTCTTACCTCAAGCGCTTTTAAGCCCGTCTTCTTTCAGAGAGAAAAAAAACACACACCTCTTGCTTTCACCTTTATATCGGTCTTTAATGTAGACCTATCAATCCATCTTGTGATTTATGGTTTGGGAACATAGTTTAAAAGAATGTGTTTGTGGTCAATGTCAGTTTCACACAGGTCTCATTATGAATGATTACTCTTGAAAACACACAGTAAAGGTCAAATTTATGACTAGGTATTTATCACTTGATTGTGTATTTTCTAAATTATCTTTTGATCAAAATCTTGTTCTTTGTTTATAATAGTTTTTTAGTAAACAAACAAACAAAAAAAAGCTTATGCAAGCCTCAAACTCCATGTCTGGGGAGAATTGTTGGGAATCCCACTGTATAGGAAACCATGTTCTCTGGTGCATGTTAATATTCATTTTAAACAGCAAGTATAACATAATCTAGGAATTCTTGGTTACAGCATATAAAACCTGAATTCTCTGAAAGGCAATATTTACTAAGCTATAAATTCTCTTTTATATCACTGCTGTAAAAGCATTCTCTTGTGAACTGCACATCGACAAACACACCCAAAAGAACAGTGATTGTAAAACCAGTATTGCTTTACATCCATCCAAACATACTAAGAGAGAAGGTCCATGTCTCATCCGCTCATTTGATTTCCAATTTGAAATGAAATAAGCAGAAATGAGAAAACGGCACCTTTATTTGTTTTTTGTTTTTTCGTTTAATCAAAAAAAAATGCAACTCAATAATTAATATTTAGCAGAGGTGGGGGACTCGAGTCACATGACTTGACTCGAGTCTGACTCGAGTCACAATTTTCAGGACTTGTGACTTGCTTGATTAAAGTACAAAAATGACTTGACTTGACTTTGACTTGAGAACAAGTTACTTGAGACTTGACTTGACTTGAAGTGGAAGACTCGACAATGACTTGAACATATAATAAACAAACAGCAATACAGTTAATTAAAATATATATTATGACGTCAGCATCAATATATCGGCATCTGTGCCTTTACGCTGCTCAATTCAAACCGCGCCAAATGGAAGTTCCGGGAGTCTCACGCATATTGATAGCGTCTCCCTGATGCCCGCAAATGAGTTAAAATCTCCCGGAATCTAGAGCGAGATACTGCGCGTATAACATACATAGCGTGCGGCGTGTGCACGGCAGAGATATGGGAAGCCAAACAAACCTAAAGTGGGACGAGACAGCGGGGCTTTACAGAGCTCGTGCCGCGCAGACATGTCATCTGCACGGTTCAATGATCCGAGCCGCGCAGCCGATTCGTCAGCGCAGCGCGGACGTGTTTCCTAGCGACACTCAATAGTCAGCGCTGTACTGACCAATTTAAAGCAACGCAAACCATATGCTACATAGGCTACTACATGCAAATAAATGTACAATAAAGAAACCCCTCCTTCCTTACAAAGAATTGTTCTCTACTGAAGTTTAGGAGTTAATTATGGAGAATTCCATAATTAAAACAATCATTTGTTAATATTTATGTAAATTTAATAGCCTATATAATATACATAATATTATTTAATATGTAATATTTATTAAATATAAAATATGTTAATATAACATATTACCATTTTTATTTTATATTTATTTTAAACATATTTTAAATATGTTAATATAACATATATTACCCCCCTCCCCTAACATTACATTCATTGAGATATACCTCCCTGAAATGAATTCTTGTAGGTTGGGATGTCTGTATATGCAGCATAGATATATACACGGCTGTGCAGCTGCAAATGCGTTTTACATATAGGTTTCAGTAAATCGAGGAAAAGGAGTTTCCGAAGACATTTGTTGGCTATGATAAGAAAAACTACTGAATTTAAAAAAAATGGCATTTTATATTCTCATACATTTCATACATTTTATATTTTACATTTATATAAGATATTACATTTTAGATTTCATACATTTTAGACCGTTTCAATTAAATTGAATTAGACAGATTGGATTATACATCTTAGAATCGATACATCTTAGACTGTGTAAACAACACAATTTTATTTTATTTTCAGATATTAATGTAGCACAGATATGCATATGATTAATATAGCAAATGTAAGATACATAATATATGTATAAAAGTTCATCTTTTCTGTGCAAAAATAAATATGTATCGAAAAAATTTACCTCTATTTATTTTAGTAGTGTGACTTGACTTTACTTGAAACTTATCAGGACTTGACTTGACTTGCTTAGGGTGAACCCTTGACTTGACTTGACTTGCTTGATTTATCTGAACTGCGACTTGAGACTTGACTCGAGACTTGATGGTTAAGACTTGAGACTTGCTTGGACTTGACCATGTGTGACTTGTCCCCACCTCTGATATTTAGAATTAAAATTTTCCAAAATTTAAGTTGGCCCAACTCAATTTAAATTGTTAAAAATTAAGTTGCCCTAACTCAATAATTAATACTTAGAATTTAAATTTTCTAAAGTGAGTTAGGCCAACTCAATTTTGAAAAAAAAAATACTTTTTTAACTTTTTTTTCAATTTAAATTATTCAAATTAAATTGGCCTAACGCAATTAAAGTTGGCATAACTCGATAATTAATATTTAGAATTAAAAATTACCTAAATTTAGTTGGCACAAATAAATTTAAATTGTTGAAAAAATAATTAATATTTAGAATTAAAAATTACCTAAATTGAGTTGGCCCAACTAAATTTTAAATTGTTGAAAATTAAGTTGGCCCAACTCAATTTAAATTTTCCAAAATTAAGTTGACCCAGCTCAAAAATTCTTATTTAGAACTATTTTTTTTTTCCAAAACAGAGTTAGCCCAACGCAATTTAAATTGTTCAAAATTAAGTTGGCTCAACTCAATAATTAATATTTAGAATAAAAAAACTTCCAAAGTTAAGTTGGCCAAACTCAATCAATATTGAGTTGGCCCAACTTAATTTACATTGTTCAAAATGTCAAACATCTATACATAGTCTAAGATCAAAATGTTAATGTCTTCCATAGATCTTATGAGTTGTTATGAACTATATCTTTAATCAAAACACAATAAAAAAAAACAGCAACACATTTTTATGATCAAATTTACTATTAATAAGATGGGTGACCCAATGGGTGGTGTGAGGGGTGACCAACACTAGGGGGCGCTAGACAATAATTAAAAGAGAAAGAAAGTACACGGCGGGAGACCATAGAGGGAGACCCCATCATAGTGTTGGAAATTCCAGTTCACTTCATTCGCAGAACACACATTTCCTCCCTAGTTAAATACACCTAACACTTGATCAGATACATTTAATAAGGCGAGAAGAATCAAGATAAACGTTCCTTTTAGTTCCTTTAAATGTAAAATAGATACATCAAGACATTAGGCCTAGTCAAACAATTCCTAAGCTAACTGTCACTGAATTAGAAAAAACTGTAATTGATGAAAAATGTTTGCTCTTAAAGGACATTACATGCATTTTCATTATTCAAACAAACATCTATTTTGAAGAGGCATTTTAGTTTGCTTATTTTATTTCTTTATTTTTGTGTGCGTGAAATATGGCCCTTTCGATAATAACTAAATTAACTGTCTTTGTAAAACTATTACATGTAGTTTGCTAAGCAATTATAAATTGTATTATGGTATGGTCATAATTGCAATGATGGTTTAAATAAAATAATGCTTCTAAATAAAAGAAGCTTTTGTTCTTGAATCTTAGAGATATAATCTTGAGTGCTTTAAAATAGAGATTCACACAAAATTCAGCAGGACAGGTATATAGTCACACAAAATGCAACAGGGCAGGTATATAGATGCCATTAGAGCGCTGCAGATTTTACTGGGACTGAGTAACCCAATGCTATAATTACAAACTCCCACACAGGAGGAAATCAGAGCTAGCTTTTTATTACTGTTGAGTGATTTCAGCCACTAATGAATAGGCTGGGTCATTATGGGGACACAAAAGCAGATAAATGGCATCTTGTGAAGGCCAGTGTGAGACTCTGGAAGGGCTCATATACTTACTCCCTTAGGACTCAGTAAAATGAACAAATTCCACTTAAAAATTACGTGAAAAAGCATTTATTCGAAGCCAAGAATGAAATACAATTTACTATTTTCAGGATTCTTTGTTAATGCCAGATCATATTAAAATCATACAGAATGGCATATATCCAGTGTAACTCATGTATCCAAGATTACAAAAAAACATTTTGTTTATTTTGTATGTCATTATCTGTCGTTTTCCCATTTGAGCCATTTTGTAAATATGAGATTGGCAGTGTTATTTTAATATATTATTACAATATTCATTAATACACACAAAAAAGTAACCCCATTTTTTTAAATTAACAAATTTCAATCGTGTAGTAAACTTCAATCAAATTTTAAATTTTCCCTTTTATAATTTTAGTTTTAGTTAACAATAAAAAAAGTCATTTTATAGGTAAAAGTTGAGTTTTTTTGGTGTAGGCTACTTACTCGACCTCTTTTTCTTTTATTTAGTCTTTGCACTGAAATCTGCTTTGTTAAATTTTACTTGCTGATTCAGCCTGAAATTATCTGAAAGCCACTTCATTTGATCAGTATATAGCTGTTTCTGTTGATTTGATTATGCACTTTTTTAACTTGCAAAGAGTGAATTAATTATTAACAAGGCCAAAAATAATGATTACATCAGGTGTGGCCAGATACAAGCTAGATACTATTGCATAAATGATCACTGTTTTTAACACACACACACACACACACACACACACACACACACACACACACACACACACACACACACACACACACACACACACACACACACACACACACATAATGTAGAAACAAAAACAGTACTCCTTCATACTTCTGTGAGAAATGGTCCATCATACATACAATTTTAACAAAGTATTGTTTTGATTTATAGTTACCATAGCAGATTTGGTTGCTAATGATATGGGCCAGAGGCTGGACTGTGGTTCTGTCTGACATTCTCTTGTTCCTCTTCATAATATGATATATAAATGATATATGTGACACCAAATCCATCGTACATTGACACTAAACACGGTAACTGAATTTGAACCAAAGTAATATTTCAATAACAATAAAAACTTCCCATCTAAATTACAGTAGAATACGAAGATATAAAAATCTCAATATAACGCAAATATCCAGGCGACAGCTATATGATAGCTTATCTTGACAACAGACTGATTGAGTCTACAAACGGCTTCGCTTGACACTTTCTCAGTACAGTAATTAATTCACGGCGTATGCAAAAGTTATGGTTTCGCACTGGTGCAGTGACTTCCTTTATCACCAACGTCATGAACGATCATGAACATCAATGACACAAAACTCCAGTGTACTTAAAAGTATTTCAACCAAACGCAGCATTTCATGTCACGAGAGGTCCACACTTTCATACTCTCCATGATCGGAGTCTTCGATTTCAATCCCAGGAACCAGGCTGTAGTATTCAGTGGACTGGGTCAAGTATGCCTTCTCCCGATCGGCTGAGTCCTTCATCACCTCGCTCACGCTCACCGTGTCCAGGTCCTGCTTTCCCACGGTCCCTTCTGTGGAGCAAGTGGACGGCGGAGGAGCCAGCGAGTCCACAGAGCCCAGTTTGACCTCCACCTCCTCATAAATATCCCGAGTGCTGTCTAACAGGGTGGACGAGGGCTGAAGCATCAGCTGGTTCTTCAGTATGACCTCCTTTCCTCTGTCGACAGACACTGCTGACTCCTCAGTGGGCAGTTTGGCATGTGGCCACCGTCCGTTGCAATGGGAGTTGTTGGCTCTTTTGCGAGTTGCACTGAACGAGGTGGTCTCTTTCTTCTTCTTTTTCTTCTTCTTCTCTCTGCCACAGCACCAGCACAGCACCAAGCTGAGGAGGAGCAGCAAGGGAAGCAGGATGAAAAGAGCGGTCAGGTTGGGCAAATGACACACGTCACTAGTCGGCAAAGACCAAAGCGTCCGCCCTGCAAGATTTTGAGGAGAGGCACAGGTCAGATTCCCTACGAGGTCCTGAAGGCTGCTGGAGTTGTCATGCAGACCACCGTGAAGCCCCTTCCACAGCGAGCATGTACAGTCCCAGGGGTTTCCAACGAGCTCCAGATGCTGTAGCGACGGCTTAAGCGCTGAATGAGGCAGAGCGCTCAGCTGGTTCCATCCCAGAATCAGCACCCGCAGTTTGTCAGAGTTCTGCAGAAATCCCTCGGGCAGATCCTTCAGACGATTCACTCCCAAATCCAGCACTTCCAAACTGTAAGCTTTAGCGAGGAAGTCAGCTGGGAGAGATGTCAGACTGTTCTGACTGAGATACAGCTCTCTCAGTGAACTGACAGCATCACCGACCTCACTGTGATCAATGTGACTGATATTACAGTTAGTCAGGTCCAGAACCTGCAGGTGTGTATGTGACAAAAAAGCCGACCAAGACACCTGGTTGAATGTGGATCCTGAGAAGTTCAAGCAGCATGTGTCATTGGGTACCTTAGATGGAAAGTCAGACAAAATGCTGGCCGCTGGGCACCCACACCCACCAGTGCTTCCTTCAGTCACACACAGCATTTGGAGAATCCCCAACCCGCATAAAAACACAAGCCCTACAAAAAGAAAAACAAACAAGGATTAGACACAATTTCAGACTTGTAATAAAACAGTGAATTTCTGTACCACTTGTGGCACCACATGGAATGAAAAAATAATGATGGTTTCCAAGGATACTCCTATACATTAATCTAAACATGTACAAATGCTCAAAAATTCCCTATGATATCATATTTATACATTTTACTCATTTTTTTTTCATTCTGTTCTATTTAAAATCCTGGTGCCATTCAATTCGTTGAGAAGAATTCTGGCACTTACCCACTTAACCCAACCTTTAAAATGTTAAATTGAATACAAATTTTGTCATTACTTGAAAAAGGACAGTTTATACATCTGTAGAGTGAAATATACTATGCAAGCCAATTCTCTCTCTTTCTGTTATGTTCTAGCTTGACCTCCAGGGATCTGCTTGCTCAGGTTGAGCAGAGAGGTGAGGATCTCATGTGTATAGCAACACTCATGGCTTCGGCACTGTTGTCATTAGTGTGGGAGTTGGCATGGTGACGAGGTGAGTCTGGGATCAGGAGTCCACGCTTCACGGAGAAACATCTTATCTGGCAACCATGCAGGTCATGGTTGGTTGGGAACTGAACAAATATATCACACACACATCCTATGATGGCTGAGGTGCAAGACAATAAGTGCTTTCCTGTTCACGTTCATTAAACAGAAGTGAAACAATCATAAATGATAACACTGATTATTGACAGCAATCACTGCATCTAACAATATATCCTAAAGAATTAATGCAAATGTTTTTCTTTTATTAGTGAAACAATGCTTTTAGGTTTTTTACTACTGCAGTTGTAAAAAAAAAAAAAAGCATTGTTTCACTAATAAAAGAAAAAACATAGGATACTTTTTTGGCTACTTTTTTTATTATTATTAGTAAATGTTTTTATGAGTAGTTTCAGAATCTTTAAGAACTTTACTCCAGTCTCTTTTTCCCTGCTGTGCAGAGGACTGTACATGTTTTGTTCCCTCACAAGTATAGGCCTGGCATCAGACTTTCCTGATGTAAACAATGGAAGTGGAATGTGCAAACCCCCTGACAACACAGACTATCCACATCAGGAACGAGAGCTAGGGAACCAGGCCAATCCAGCCCTGCATTCACTAGTGCTGAAACATTTCATTTAGTTAGTAACAGTATCATCGACAGCTATTTGCTAACACAACACCAGCCCTGGATTTTCTCACTGAAATTATAAAGCATGCAAAAATGACAAACATCATAAATTTAGATGTATTTAATACAGAAAATCATCTAATATGAGTAAATCTTATAATGAAGTAATGGTAATAGAGTAGCACAATTGAGAGATTTGCAGATGTAATATAATATGTCCAAACCCACATTAAGTCCTTCATGACGTGCCCTAATTATTTTTGTTTTTTATTTTTATTTTAAGCACTTTTTGGCTTAAGTTCAGCCTACAAAGCAATCACTTATAATTGGATCTAAGCATCAGATAAGTGATAATCTCTCACTTACATGCACACAGGTTTGTTTTCCTATGATGGCTTTCTATTGACTATTGTTTTATACTGAGCTAATGATATTTTCTATCCTAAGCCAAACCATCACAGAAACCTGTCTTGTGGTCTTGTCTCATTGTAGAAAAAACTATCCCAAACAGACACGCAAACAACTAGATCCTTCCAGCCATAAGTTTTTTTTTTTTTTTTTTTAAACTTAATGTTGAAACAAATCCGGTCTTTGTGTTTCCCTGCTGTTATTTCATATATTAGTGGATGTAGCTAGTCCTCAAACAATAAGCTCACTTGGAAATATGAACTTGATATTTAGGCCAGCAATAATAACCAATAATAAAGAAAAACTGACTGTTTTTCTAAAATTATGACCGTTTTTGTGACTGATTAAGTTATCAATATTGTGCAAGGGAGATCAATTCTGTGAGGTTAAAGGTACAGGCCTATTTGGAGCACAAGGTTTATTCCAATTATTAAAAGAGAGTCTTGTTACATATGACATGCATGCAAAAAAGGTTTTTTACTAATGTGTGAACGATGAGATATATATTCCTACCTAAACCTATCCTACATGATCTCATGGCAGAACAATGCGCGGTGTTACACCCAGCCCAGCACTTTCCTCTCAGATAGCGGATCTTTTACTCAAGCGCAACTTCACAATGCGTCTGATTAACACTGACAAAACAGCAACAATAAGTCAATACAAAACACAATAAAAGTATATCAGCAAAGCAGAAACGGTCGACATAAGACGTTTCTAATTCATACATTTTTCTTTTTTATTATTGTACACAAACCAACCATGTCCACCACTGTTACCGGAGCAATTCTAACTTTACTAAAATCCACTTGCGCAAATATAGGATGCTTGCAATAGTAACAGATCAACGGTAAAATGTTAAAGTGACGCTTACCTTCACTTGTCATGATTGTGCTGATGGTATGACTGTCATGCATTCAGATGAGCGCTAGAGCAGCAGTATGTCCCATCGCGTCTCTACTGTACAGTCAGTGTGTGTGTGTGTGTGTGTGAGCGCTGGGTGTGTCCTCATCCACACAACACCGGATGGAATGTGGAAATTTTGCTTCCTCTGTGTGATGCAGAGGAAAGTGTGTGAAACAGAGTGAGAGGGAAACGTACCTGCAGGGGAGACTTCCCTCAGTTAGGCTACTTCATGCGTGTCTGAGTTTGAGGGGTGTAGGCTATTTGGAGGGTGATGGGGCTATTGAAAAGACCTATTTCCTTTACATGAAACTATATTCTTTTCAAGAGCATTTCAAACAGTAACCAGAAGAGTTGGGTAAAAGTCCACAAAATAGTGTGCTAAGAAGCTCGCGAGAAATTGCGTTCGCCTGATGTGGTAACCATAGCAACATCAACACGCTGCTTGCGCTCTTTCTGTAAAATCAGAATGAATACTTTATATCCAGTGGCGTAGGTTTGATTTTGAAATTGGTGGGGACGGGGACATCAATGTATAAATATATTTTAAGTTTTTATCGAAATTATTGCTAGGGATATAGCCTACCAGTGTCACTGGATATTGGTAGGGACACCCTGATTCCCAACTTTAGAATAATATAAGAATAATATAAATACCCAAAGAGTTGGTAGGCTGATTTTGTTTTCCGTTTTTTTGGTGTTCTGCCTTTGACTAGGCTGTAGCCTACCCAAAAATGGCCCGGTTTTACAGCACGCTCAAAACAACCCGCATAGGCCTAATTATAAAAGCCAGACCAATTATGAAACAATTAATTTGCAGAAAGCACATCTACATAAAAACCCGATGACATTATATTTCCAAAGCACAAACAAAACTTGAAAAGCTAAAGAAAGTTATAAAGTTATAATTGCTGTAATTATAATATAGAATGATAATCATTAGGCCTATATAGCCAAGTAATTTTGCATCTTTGTGACCCCGCCAAGATATTTATTATTATTATTTATTATTTAGATATGATACTGTTATTCATTGGCTATAAATAACCTAATAAATGATATTTAAATTAGGCCTAGTTTTTTTTTTTCTTTCTTTTTTTTTGACCAATGAACTAAGAAATGACCCCGGTTTTCATTTCAGAAAGCTGGCCACTTTTTTATTAGCTAAAAGAACGAGTAAGAGGACGAGATTTTTAGGAGTTATTCGAGTTAACCACAAGATGGAAGCATTCTACTAGTAATATAGGCCTACTTCCTTCTGTTAGCCTGCGGAGATTGATAGATAGACGGACGCCGGACAGACATACAGACAGACAGGTTGAACGAAAAACAGACAGACAGATTTTTTTTCCCTCTGTGATTTGTTTGAAAAGGAATGATTCACCATATGATGTGATACTGGCATCACACATGAAACTAATTTTTGAAAATACAGCAAAACATAAAGAATGTGTCATGTTACCAACTCAATGTAAACAGCATATCTCTTAACATTCTCTGTGTACACTCAGAAATTTACAGTGTCTGTTCAGCATCAAAGCATAAGGCTGCATCATCATCATCATCATCATCACCAGTGCCCAAGCCAAGGAGTTTCTTTTTTTCTCTGACTCAATGCTCAAGGAATCTTTCAGTGGATGTTGCTCTCATTCCTACGCTGCTGCTCTCAGGTGCAGTGGGTCAAATGTTTGTCTCAAGTCCATATTGATCCTGACCGGAGCATGACAGCGAGCAGGGGTGATTCCCACTCACCTACCGTATGTCCTGAGTTAGGCTGTAGCCTGTCAACAAAGAACGAGTTTTGAAGAACTGAACCAGGGATGAAGGTTAGGAGCTGACTGATATAAACTGACACTTACCAGAAGAGTTTATACAAGTAAAAGGAAATCCATTTTGGTCAAAATTATGCAGATCATCTCTTTCATTACTGGAAATGTGCTCAACACGATTAAAAGTGCCCCGAAAAACTAGACAAAGACACAGAAAGTATCGAATTAGCTAAATACATTGTATTTAATTCTTTTTTTTACATAGTAGTTTGTATTTCACCAATTAAAAAGAACAAACATCTTTTTAAAATTAAATCACCTCAATATTTCATTAAAGGATTTATGAAGCATCCTAAAAACTCACATTTTGTTTACAAAGGGATCTTAACATGCACATGGATCCGATTAAATTATCTAATTTAGTGGTTTTTGAGCTGTCGTTGAACACTGATTTAACAGAGCCAGATTTTAATCATTGCCACTTGTTATTATTAACTAACCACATAGACAATAGGAAACAAGTCAAACCAACTATAAATCTTTAACAGCAACAATGTCCCTCTTCATGAAATGCTCTGAATTCCCGTAAATGAAGGCCTTCCTGAAACAGGCTGTAAAATCAGTTGAAACAAGGTTTTTGTCCCAGACTTACTTTGCTGACTAACGCTGCTGCGTTTTGTAAAGTTAATGCATATTCCAGCATTGGTGCCAACAAGTTGTCAGTTTGCGGAAATATCAAGACTATAACAACCAGCGGAGTGAAGAATGCCTTTCACCAATTTTTAGCTAATGAAGGTAATACAGAATAGCTTTCTTACCGTGCTGATTTATTGGTACTTCATTAAACATCTGGTTGAGTTTTTGATGTGGGTTTAGGAAGGAGCTGTGTTTCTCAGAGACCAACTGGAGCTCATTGGTACCACTGAGGTTGATTCCACAAACCAGTGGAGAAAGTCTGAAAACACAGCATTTGCTTTTAAATTCATGCATGCATGTATAAATGACCTTCAAATTATTACATTTCAAGTCTCATGATTCATTTTTGCATGAATCGAATCATTATTCTTTATATATCAAATATAGAGTGTATCAAGAACAAAAAAATGCATTTATTAAGAATAAAACATATAACATGTATTTATTTTATTGTTATCGATTTAACATTTAGCTATTCATTCTAATGCATTTCAAATTCTGCCAAGAACTGCTTGGAAAAAAAAAAGTCATTAAAGATTGTCATGACATTAGGCCTGTTTACACAAGAACGCTCGCAGGTGAAAACTTAAAAATATTTTATCGGATGTGCATTTCGTTTACACGGCGATGGCATTTTGGGGCTTAAAAACGCAAAAAAGTGAAACGTGAAAAAGTGAACCCTCCAGAGTGGAAAATCTTAGGCTATGTTTACACGGAAACGATTCGGAAGAGGAAACGCTGCGTGCGCTTATTCTGCGTTTAGACGAGCGTTTTTAGTGGGAAATCCGTGTGCATATGGTGACGCAAAAGTGTGTGAAATTCAATGTAGTATGCACTCCAGGCGGCTAGGTGGCAATGTGAAGCACTGCCACACAACAACACCAACGCGTATTTCGCGTATTGCACGCGTATTTCCCACCCAAAACGCTGCCTAAACGAGCATTTTGCGTTTTCTCTTCAGAACCATTTCCGTGTAAACATAGCCTAAAACAAATAGTTCACATGCAGTACAAACTAAGAGGGATGAGCATGTCTAATACTACATGAATCCAGTTAGAGTTCAGTAACCAATTAAATAATGTTTTATTTCTAACTCATTCCTCTTGAGAGCCCAGCATAGGCTTTAACTCAGAGGGACTCACAGATAGCCTGCAAAGAAGTATCATTTAAATTATGTGGTCCCTTGCAGAGAGGCCAGAGGGTGTTCGGCCCAAGCATCTTTTGGAAGATCTTCAGTGTTATTCATCAACAAGAGTCTTTTGTCAATATATCTCACATCAGCATAAATAGAGCCACAACCATCCAAGACGTCATATAACAGACCATACGTCAACATCCTCCTTTTTAAGGTACCCTTAAACGTCGGTTAGATGACGTTATCGGATCCTAACCCTACCCCAGACCTAAACCTACCCCGTCACCTAACCGACGTTAAAGATAAAGCGTCAGTTGTATGAACATAAGGACTGTATTCTTTGGTTTTACTCATTGTGATGGATGATTAGGGGAATTTGGCCTTTGTGTTTCCTCATATTTCTAATTCCTGTGAAACAAGAAATCATAGTAAGACAATTTCATGTCACTCTGGAATGCTAAACAAAAGTAAATATTAATGGGAATATACTTAGTTATTTTACTCATAATTTTTTGAGGGGTGCCAATAATTGTGGCCACCCTGTTTTTGGTGAAAAACATTTCATAATGTGATTTCCCCCCCATTTTCAATGATTTTACTTCAATTTAGATTTTTGTGCATTATTTTTTTTAATAACAGATCAAAAGGATAAACAATGCAGGTTTATTTTTTACAGCCATCTTTGATCATATTTAATTTTTATTTTATGCTGTAATCTTTATTTTGTTATAAAATATTTTAACTTATTAACATTTAATTTTCTCAGTTTTATTAATTGAATAATATTCATTATTATTTACTGCTTTAATTTATTTAATATGTTGACAACGTTTTGTGTACAGGACCACAAGTCTAAGAAAATAAAATCAGGGAAAAAAAATTACAGTTCAATTTGATTGTTTTAATAGACAAAAATTTGAGTTTGATGTTCTTGAATGATTTGAAAGTAGCTTCAATTTACCCACCACTAACAAAATTGTATCTACATTAAACTTAATTCAATTTGGATTTTAAAAACTTCAAAAGCAATGGGTCAAATGAACACAGAATGAGACGGCCATCCATCCATCCATCCATCCATCCATCATGTTATTGGTCTGTGTTGCTGTGTCCAGTCACAGAGTATAAGAGAAAGATAAGTGCTCTGTGTGTGTTTGCAAGCGGGAAGGGGTTGCCCTGCAGCAATACTCATGTGTTTGGAGCAGAGGGCCGAGTCCCAATAGAGCGGCTGTCAGCACAAAACTCAGAAAACAGTTCCACTCGCTATATTTTTACAGTGAACCTCTCTATATGCATTAATCACAGCCAGCTGCCTGTACGCACCCTTAGGCTGGAATGAGTGGAATCTTTCATGCAGCGTTTAAAAATCCCAATTTACCCATCACATTGATCCTCCTCTTAGTTGACAGTGCGTTACTTTCAGCAAGCACACTGTGAAAGACTTACTTAAAGACTTTATAACATATCCTGTCATGTTTGAGGAGGTCATTAAATAAGTTAATGAAATAACTCAACTTTACAGGGCAGGAACTTTCATCTTGGAAAAGATTTTATGGATCAAACAGTCCTCCTTTTAAACATAAAAGTTATTACTATTATCAAACATTGATAATCTACTAACTACTACAGGCTCTGACTACTAAAGGAGCTCTAAAAGCACTAAGACTGGATTTATTAGAAATAAAGTAAAAATATGAATAGTGTTTAAATATTGTCATTCCTGTTACTGAAAACTGGAGTGAAGGCTGCTGAAAATTCATTTTTGCTATGTCACATGATCCTTACATGCCATATTATATGTTGTAATTATATGTAATATATATATATATATATATATATATATATATATATATATAACACCAGTTTACTGTTCAAAAATTCTCTTCATTATCAGTGATGAAAACAACTGTGCTGCCTAACATTTTGTGGAAACTGTTATACAAATTTCAGGATTTTTATTCTTTTTTTATTGAATGTTCAAGAGAACAGCATTTATTTGGAATATAAATATTTTGTAACAATGTAATTACTACTTTTGATCAATTTCATGCATCTTTGATGAATAAAAGTATCTTTTCTTTTCAATGGTATTAAGGAAAAGTTTATATTTTAGAGCTTATGAAAGTTTTCCACAATTTAAATAACTTTTTAACCTACTTTTTAGTAGTTAATTTTAAATGATGGTGTGAAATGATGTATGCATTTACAAAAAGTGTGATGTCATAAAACTGCATGCATATCAATTACTGTATAAAATCATGTGGAAAATGCTCAAATAGTTTTAGATGAAGTAAAGCTGGTCAAACTGCAGGACATCATCATTTTACCTACCCATATATTTTAATGCAAACATAAATCAAAATGAATTATCTTTTTGGCAGGAAGATCTAATGGCTAATAATGTTTTAAAAGAAAGTCCATCAACATACACACAAAATCAACCACAAGTCACTCAAAATCTCACATTTCATAACAGGGTTTTGAAATAACAAAAATACTCAGTAAGCAAAGTCTCCAAAATGCTTATTTTTTGCCAAACGAAACACATTTTGCAATGGGATCAGATTCGTCTGACGGGAGTTAGAAAAATGATTTAGTTATAAAATGTTTAATATAATTTAAAATGTGCTTTCTTGGGATCACAAACCCAAGTCTTTAATATTTCTGTCACATAGTCAATGGTAGGTTAGCCAGCAACAAATAGTGTGCAGGAAGTGTAGGTTCTGCTGATATGTTTTGTTGTTTGATAAAACACATTTCCTGTTTACAGACACAGAGTTTGTTGCACAGTGTTTTTGTCACATCACCTCAAGAGTGATTGTTGTTTACATACATCAAGTCATGGCATGTGTTCCCTTTCCGGAAAAGTCTGGATAAGCAAACGTTCAGAAACAAACACTGCCTGTTTGTGGTGAGTGACAACATAAAAAATATGTTTTTTTTAAAAAAAAAACAACAATGAAGAAAAATGAAATGACAAGAAGAATTATTAAAGCCTTTTACGCAAGACATAGTAGTGACCACAACAGTGACAAAAATTGCAAAAAAATCCCTGTGATCTCTGAATTGTCCATATGATTGTATAAAGATCTTAATGCAAGACATCCAGATTAGATCAAATCCCTTCACAATCGGCACATATTTGCGTGACAGCACAACAGTAATATTGAGAGAAAAGGTCATGGGTTAACTGTGTTGTAAAAAGACCCATGCGAAAGCATAATGATCACATTTTTCTACTGAAGAAACATGTGTTGCCACACATCATAATGTCTTCGTTCTCAGGGCAGGGATGATTTGCTCCCATCTCATCGGCTGTGCTTTTTTAATGTTTCTCATTATAAGCACATGTTGCTAACTGCTGTGGTTGACGCATATATATGCACAGCAGATGGAGTCTTTCAGTCAGTGACAAATAGCCAATTAGACTCAAGAAAAATTGTCCCCATATGTATCAGAGAAGCAAACTGTCCATGCTTTAAGTTTGCAAAAATGTATATTATGTTCTGAGGCAGTGGCATTACTAGGATGCCATTATGGGGTGGCCAAATAATATTTGCCACCGAAATGTTCACTATCATCACAATGCAAAATAGTTCACTCAAAAACATGGGTATCACTTTGTTCACAAAAGAACCATCAAAGATTGCTGATCCTCACCTTGTCTGATTGAGCTTGTTATTGTGCAGATGGTTTTGAAGGTTGATGCTGCTGTGCTCCAGAGTTACACTGGAGGTTCCAGAGAAGACTCTGCTACACGATTCATCCTCTTCCGAGAATGCTGTAAACCAACGGGAACGATTAATGTGATCTCTATACAGTTGCATCACGGTTGTTCCTTCAAGACAGCAAAGCAATTCAATGGAGAAAGGCTTTTGCAATCAGATTTCAATATGAACTCAGACAACACTGAGAATAATAAGAAATATTTCTTGAGCAACAAATCAGACTGAAAAATCAGCTTTGACATCACAGGAATAAATTCTACATTAAAATATACCAAAATAGAGAACAGTTATTTTAAATTGTATTAAAGGGATAGTTCACTTTGAAATTAATGTTTTAGCTTACCTCAAGTGCATCCAAGATGTAGGCATCTTTGTTTCTGCAGTAGTTTCAATTTTGATATTTTTCGGTTAAACCGTTCTTGTCTGTCAGTCATATAATGCAGGTCTATGGTCACCACCTCAAAGTGCATGCACAGAGAAGTCTAAATTAAACATGATTTAATGAATCATAAATGTAAGTACACATTGATGGCCTAAGACACGAAACGAGCGGTTTGTGTGAGAAAACGAACAGTATTTATATCGTTTTTACCTCTTGTAAATCTGAGGGCGTGGGAACTTCGATCTGCGCAAGCGCCGGAAAGCACCGGAAGTGATCTCTCACGCGTGTACGTCACTCATTGTTTACACAGAGATTTCAAAAGTCTTACTCTTTACTTTAAAGATCTAAACATTTAGATATACAAGAAAATCGCAATGGAAGACGATTTCGATATATCAACAGACAACGTTGATTTTTTTTTCCCGCAACCACGCGAGTGATCACTTCCGGTGCTTTCCGCCGCTTATGCAGACCGAAGCGCTCGCGCCTTCAGATTACTGGGACGTGGCTGTGGTTACAAGAAGTAAAAACAATATAAATACTGTTCATTTTCTCACACAAACCGCTCGTTTCGCGTCTTAGGCCATCAATGTGTACTTACAATTACGAGTCATTAAATCATGTTTAATTTGGACTTCTCTGTGCATGCTCTTTGAGGTGGTGACCATAGACCTGCATTATATGACTGACAGACAAGAACGGTTTGACCTAAAAATATCAAAATTGAAACTACTGTGGAAACAAAGAGACCTACATCTTGGATGTCCTTGAGGTAAGCTAAAATTTTTAACCAAAAATGAATTTCAAAGTGAAATATCCCTTTAATATTTCACAATTCCCAAAATGGGAATGGCTACGTCTTTCAGGAGAAGCTTTTGTGCATGTAGCCTGCTTTGTATTCTCTTCTGAAAGCTGTTCTCGGTAAAATGTATAGCGCACAGACAAATGTTGAAGTTGTATAGTTCAGAAACAGTGTTAAAAATACATTTTATCCACTCAAAGTTTGTTATCCTAAGGCAAAAAATTTACCGGGGTGTAAAAAAAAAAATCATGCTTATCATGCTTCTAGTGCGGTTAAACTTTTTTGCATATTCCGTGGGCACGGATTATTTAAATGAGGAACATTATGACTTCATAAGATCCAGAAAAAGTGCATTTCAGTCCAAATGGCCCAGTCGTTGTGGTTCTTGAAAAGTGTATTCTGTTAAATAAAGTATCCCTTTGGAGCGGATTTTAAGCTACCTTGCAAATCTTTTTTATGCTCAAACAGCAACATTACACACAAACTAAAGTTTAAGAAGTTAAAAAGCATAATAGGACCCCTTTAAATGTGTACTGTAAAATAAATAATCACATGATTTGTTGTAACTGGATAAATTCTTGCTGAAAGTCACAACATTACCATTTAATTCACTCTTAGAACACATGTAAAATTTTACACAAAATGTGTTGTCCCTGAGCTGATTCAGCACATGTGTTAAAATTTAACACATTGTGTGTTGTTAACACATGTTGTGTAAAAAACAACACATAATGTGTTAAACTTTAACACATGTGATCTGATCTGATCTAAACATCTGATCTTATTTCTTCCTGAATGATTAAGGTCAGAAATCATGTAATATTCAATTTGGCTTGTTGATGTTAAACTTCTTTCACAGTCATTCTTCATTCGAAACACAGAGTTGCTTCTTTCTTATTAGGTATAGAATTAGATTACTAAAATATCAGTTGCTTCTGTCTGCGAATCACATCATTTATAAAAGTCGTCTAAGGCAATTAGTGTGCACTGCCCTCATGGATTTTCACTTCAGGTGTTGACTGAAAGAGCCCTGCGCTGTCTGACAGCTTCTTGACTTAGTATCAAGCATCTGATGGAAAAACAGCTGGAATGGAAAAGATCCTGGAGTGTGAGAGACATGGATGTGGTAGCCGTTTGCCCAAGGAGCGAGCCCAGTGACTGCACAATGGTCTTTTGAGCTTGTCGGAACGGCTGATGTCAGAAATAGTACGTTGTGTAAATGATGAGCATAGGGAAATGAGGAAGGGAGTGAACGGGGCTCTGAGCACATTCTCCACTCGAAAGAGAACTGACCTGAGAAACGTATTCCGTGCAAATATTTCAGCAGTTATTATGTCCCGTATTTCTGTCGTCTAATCCAGCGTTTCCAATCATTTATGAAGTAATGATTCTTGTGGTTTGATTCTTTCTCTTGGTCGAATTGGCCAATCGTGTTAGCAAAAATGTTCTTAAACGATTTGCATTCGTTTGGAACACGCTCCCACTGAATCATCTGAAGCCATTTCTCAGAACAAACAGAGCTGTTTATCATTTGTTTTCATATGTAAACATGCACTAAATGGTTGTTTTTGACAATTCTGTTGCTTTTAGCAGTTTTCAGTTTTAAAAATGACTTAAAATGCATCTATACTGTAGACCTTGCTGTCACAACCTTAGATGAATCTATAGTCACCCATGCATCTTACTTTAGTCTTAAGTAGTAATGACTAATATTATGTTTAGTTTAATACTATTATACTATATTTAGTTTTAAAATATTCGAATTTTGAATTTTAATAAAAATAAAAGTATATAAGTAGAAGTATTTTGACTTTTTTACGTATTCATATTTTTATTTTAAACATATTTTTTTGGGGAAAGTTGCTGTACATTGATACAATTATAGCTTCAAATTTTCTCAACTGCAAATTCAGAATTCTAAAATTGAGAACTCCGAAATTCTAATTATTCAAAAACTAGGCTACAGTTTAAGGTTCTGTGTTTCAAAAATTTTGGATAAATAATTGTCAGAGAATTGTAAAATACAATATAGCACAGGGGCCGTATTCACAAAGAGTACTGCTAAATTGCACTAAAATATTTTAGCTAGGAGTTTTCTCTTAAATTTTGTTCACAACGCCTTTCAGACCTATTCTTAGTAAGGAAAAATTACAACTCCTAAAATAAGAGTGAGTCTTCGTTGCTATGGATGACGTCAATTCTCATCCACAAGCTTCCTCGTAATGATCACAGTGATTGGTTGTTAGATGACTGGGCCATCATGCGGAACATAACACAGATGCAACAAATCATGAAATTACGACATCTAAATATGTCTGTGTTCTACACAAAATAATAATAGTAATGTCATCGAAATGCATGTATAATGACATGTTTGTGCAGGCCCCGGTGAAGTGTAATTCTAAAAAGGCAGAGAGAGAGAGAAAAGTTGTGAATTCAATTAAATTAAAGTAGCCTAATACCCCAATGAAAACCACCACTTGCTTAATAATGAAAAAAAATAAAAAAATAAATGACACTCTCATTAACACTTGCTTGGTTAATTGACATCCTATTAGTCTAAATAGACTACTTAAAGCAAGGAAATGTTGCTCCTATTGAAATAATGTAAATGTAATAGTTGAATGCCGGTGGATTATGAATTTGCCAAAATGGAAAAGAAAGCCCAACTGGACGCAGGATCAGTTACTGCTGCTGGCCCAGTTGGTGCTGTTTAAAACATAATAAAAGAGAAATTCGGCACTGGGATATCAAGCAAAACTAAGCGTGAGACATGGCATGGGAGAGGATTTGTTTGCAGATGCAGATCAATGCAGCATTCCTGCTTGTGTCGCGGACCCCGGGCGACTGCGAGAGGTGTTGGTATGCGCTACGCTCTTTGTGAATAGGTCTTAGTGAGTTAGGAGTCCTGTCGACTTCTTTTAAGCCGTCCCAGACTTAGGTGCTACTTTTAGGGATAACATGCTTTGTGAATAACTCTTAGTGAACAAAATTAGGAGTCCTAAAGTTAGGAGTGACATGCCCATTATTTTTAGGAGTTGCTCCTTAATTCGCCAGTTAGGAGCTACTGTTAGCTAGGGTTGGGTATCGAGAATCGAGTATCGATTGGAACCGGGACTAGCTTTTCGTTTTTCCCGGAATCGTTCAAAAGTTAAAATTTCGATTCCTAGTTTCGATATTCACAGTCCGCTGAGCGGAAGAAGAAACCGCTGAACAACACCAACGAAGAAGCGTCTACCGGAAGTGTTGGCATAACCACGCGAGTCGAACATGAGTACCTTACGTCGGCGATCCAAAGTGTGGCTTCACTTTTCTAAAAATAACGAAATCTCGGCAAAATGCAAAATTTGTGACAAAAGGAGTATTTTTACAGAAGGAGTATTTCCTTCAGAAAGGCCGTTGGTTAGCAAGGTTAGCTAAACTTTTTTGACCCTGCCTCTTAGAAGAATCGGAATCGAGAATCGTTAGGAACCGGAATCGAAACAAGGAATCGGAATCGGAATCAGAATCGTTCAAATTCAAACGATACCGAACCCTAATGTTAGCCTTAAAATTCTTTGTGAATACGGCCCAAGAATAAAATGTATAAAAAATATAAAGAATAAAAAAGAACACGGGAAGCTTTCTGGGGAAGCTGGTTAGTTAGGATGCCAAGAAGACCCGAGACCAAGACAAGACCAAGACTTTTAGGGGCCGAGAGGAGGACAAGACCAAGACCGAGGGAGGGCGAGACCGAGTCAAGACCAAGACCAGCGCCCCACACTACATGACACAATAAAATGTGAAACATGATCAAAAGAGATTGAACTGAAATCTTCTCAGATTGATCTGAAAGATCCACATTCCCATAAAAACAGAGATATTTAACACTAGAAGTGCCAGAATTCCAAAACTACTAGAACGGCCACAAACGGTCATTTTGACCGTTAGATTCAAAACAGTGTTTATTTCTTTGACGAATAATTTTCGTAATTATTTTCGTCAACCACATTTTTTCAAAGACGGAAACGAGACGATAACTAAATAAAAACTAGGTTTGAATGACAAAAACTATGACGAAAATGTTAGATAGTGACGATATGCGAAGCGGTCAATAGGCTAATAATAATAATTAGACTAGCAGAACTAGTGAACAGCCCATGCAGCAAAACAAACAGCGCAGGACATCCGATATGAATTGAACATCTGGATCCACCGTGTCTGATGATAGCAGCCGTCTCTTTTTCCTTGATGTGAACTCTGACTCTGAATCACTCTCTGATGATATATAGCCTATAACGCAAGTATTGATAACTGTAGTCTGGTTTTGTTTGCTTATTTCTGATCAACAACTAATGTAGAAATTATTATAAAGCAAACACCACTACAGAGGTGACCGGACGGACCTTTCTGTTGACAGTTGAGAGAGAACACGATCAACCGCGGGATATTTAACAAAAAAAAATATCGCGAAATTCAGTGCGGTCAATATGACCGTCTATGGCTGAAATAGGTAAATATGTTAATTTGTTTTGTTTTGCCTTACGTTTACGTAACTTAATTTATATGAAAATCATTTTAAATGAAAATACAGACAATTTTAGGAAAAGTCAGGTACCAGCAGGATTTTATTATTTTTTTCAACAAAGTTATTGTAGATATAAAATTCAAAACGGTCAAAATGACCGTTGTGGCCGTTCTAGTGTTAACACTCGAGGCGCCGCGTCTGAGGATGAACGACTTCAAGCCGAATCTGTCCGAGCTTGTACGTCTCACACAGTCAGAGTGTAAAAATAGGGGATATTTTACGGGAAAATACTAAAACGGGAAAACAGCGGGAAAAGAGCTAAAATAGATGAGAAACCTGGAAAAAAACGGGAGATTTGACAGCTATGCTTGTCTGATCTTGAAAAAAAAAAAAATCCAGAGTCCTCAATGTCCGAGAACAAAAGTGGTCGAGTCCGAGACGTGACCATTAAAAAGTACCGAGTACTACAACACTACTATCAGGCACACTTTGCTTTCTTCAGTTATACAGCACAAACTGGAAAATGCCTCTCAGGCCTTTCATAGCAAAAAGCCCAATGCAGCATTGCCCACAAGCACACCTACCAGTAAAGCCTTCCTGATGAATCTTAGTGAGGGAGCTGGGGCACCTGTAGTTTGGGCTGTGTACTGAAGGAGTAGAGCCATGGAGATGCTGCAAGCCAAGGCGCACATCCACAACTTCCTGCTCCACCTTATTGCCTAGCTGGACCTGTCAAGATAAAGAAAACATATCTATAGAATATACTCTGATGTCCCAATCTGAAACACAATCGGTCATGACCAGCACTAGAATCTGTCCTGCTGTGACATGGATTTGGCTCACTCAAAGTCAGTGTGAAAACTAATTTAAAAACCATGAAATTAAAATAAAAGATGAAATCATTTTTTCTGTTTCAAAGTATCGCATTTCCCGCATTTTGCCTTTGTAGAGTAGTACCGCTCATAACGTTTTTGCAAGGATCTATGGCTTGACTGTGAGGCTGAGAAAACTTTCTGTTGTTGATTCATTGAAGCATTCAGTGGAGCTGGTGAGCATGTTTGCTATTTGCATGTCACATCTGGCCTCTTGAGGAAAAGAACTGCACTGGTTATTAACTGTATTACGGGAACACATGTGTTCTTGTTTAGAATGCCAAAGCCATGGGAATACACAAAGATCTCCTTCATTCTCTTTTGTTTGGAAAGCAGGAACAGCCCATAAAACAATAGGCATTTTCATCAAAGGTCTCTGAGATGACAATTACTGATGAAGTTAATGCAATAAACAATGACATAATTTATCAGGTAATTAAGTTAATCTAACTAGATGTGCGTGTGTGTGCATATATTGTTTTTAGGTTATTACGTTATGGAGCGAGGGTGAGCTTGTTACAAGAGTCTCTCGATACAAAAACAAACACTTGAAACTGTTACCTTGTCCTGTGCCTGCAGGGATTTGGTGGAGTGGACCTTGACGTGTTTGCGCAACGAGCTGGGGTCGGTGTAACGTTTGGTGCATCCTGGGAGCTGACATGCATAGGGTTTCTATGAAGAGCGTCACATAAAATAATAAAGCAAGAGGCACAGAAGAAGAGATAAGGAGAAATGAGTCATTCATTTGCTTAATTCAATGATTTGTGAACAATGAACTGATGAAGAAGGAAAATATAAAATAGCAAGAAATATTTGCAAATTATAAATTCTTTATTTTTTTAAATATTATTATATATTTTAGAGTGGTCAAATCCCATGACATTTTGCAACCTGAACTAACCTTGGATTGTCATATGGGTATGCAGGGCCCATCATATAATTTCCGCTTTTACATTGTTGTTGTTTTTTGTCCTGCTTGTTGAACCACATGACTTTAATTTGATGAAAAAAATTTTTTTACATATTAATAATATGACAAAATAATAACAACAAATAAAGTTTCACTGCTTTAAAATAATAATATTAATAATAATAAACAAAGTACTGTTCAAAGGTGTTTTTGACCCGTAAGATTTTTTTTTTTTTCTAAAAGAAATGAATACATTTATCAACAAGGAATATTAAATTGATCAAAAGTGACAGTAAAACTTTTATAATTGTTCAAACTATTTACATTTTTAATAAATGCTGCTTAGAACAACAATTAATGTATGAAATAAGCAATGTGGGCAGTGTTTGCGCATTAAGGCACCTCACAAAACTCATTTCGTCAGCGTAACAGTTTAATGACATTCAGCAAAATAGAGAGAGCTATGGTGAGAACTAAACAAATATTTAATTACTAATGTAGTTCTTTGTTTGGTCATATACAAACTGACCAACCGCGCGAGTGGTATTTACGGCAGTAACGTTAAATATAAGTACTCCACAGCGACTCTAGGGGTCGTTGTTTAACAAAAACGGAATTCCTGCATAGTGTGCCTTTAAAATAGAAAATAGTTATTTTCAATTGTAACATTTCACAATTTTACTGTTTTTACTGTATTTATTATAAAATAAATCCAGCCTTAGTTTTTACATAAGAGACTTATGTAAAAACATTAAAAAAAATCGACAAACATTTGAACCGTAGTCTATATCCCAAACTAGTTAAGGTTTTCTTTTGAATGATTTAATTCTTTCAATTAAGGCTTTTTCTTCATTATATTAACAGTTGAAAACACATTTTGTTGTTTTTGACTTTATGCAGCAAAATTAAGTTTAATCCCAAAATTAAAAATACACATTATGATATAAAAAATTAATAAATACTTAACCTTGTGAACTCAAAAAATGGGACAGGTCATGACTTTTCAAAAAAAAAAAAGTTTTCAGATTCTTCACATGACAACATCAAACAAACCCTCCACAGGCTGATACACATCTGTGCACTTCAAATATTAACCACACATAAGCTACACAAATTCTGAAAGCAGCACAGACTAATCAATAATGTTGTCTCTTTAGCAATGCACTTCTTGCATCATATGTTTTAGCTGCACATTTAGAGGGCGAGAAGAAAAATAAATGCTTTATTGGATAACTTTCCCAAGGTCTGCATTACTAATACAGAGTGACATAATGATAACAGCCCTAAACAATCCCCTTCACAGATGTGCTCCACTCATCTAAGTGACGAATTATGATTTTTGCACGGTTAGCACATGCAATTAGAAGTGCCATCAAAACCTTACTGACAGCAGCAAATGAAACCACCCTGTTTTGAATAAATCAGCTCTGTTGACTTAAATGCACAGAGGAAACAGATATCACTTGCAAGCTGGTTATTACAGCTTTACAGGCGGGCATAAAGAGATGTGCAGCCAGAGCTACTAGTCACTGAAGTCATTAAAGTAAGAAGAGACCTCTCCACTGTTCCAAACTATAATTACTTTCTCTGAATTGAGTGTAAATAAAACCCTGTTATTTTAGGGGGGCTACTATGTCTGGAAAAAGTGACAAGTAAGCTTTCAACGCTTGTTTGTTTTCATTATTGGTGTGTATACCTTTTCAGACTGTGTAACACACATAACTGAGTATATATTCATGATGAAACATATCCATAAATATACAGTTGGGTCTTGGTTTGGTTTGTTAAATTACTGACCTAAATAATTGAGTTGTAATATATATATATATACACACATATATATATATATACCTAAAGGGATTATTAGGAACACCATACTAATACTGTGTGTTTGACCCACTTTCGCCTTCAGAACTGCCTTAATTCTACGTGGCATTGATTCAACAAGGTATATATTAGTGACCTAATAAATATTAATAATTAATTACTAATACGCTTATAAGCACATATTACACAAGCTTATTCTGAAAAAATATAACACAAGCCTATTTTTGCTGTGCATTTTTTTATGTGTTTTTTTTAAACCTGATAGAGCAGTAAGAACTATAATGCATACCGTGTCCAGGTGTGTGCGCTGGTGTTTGGCGCGATCACTAGAGTTGCTGAAGGCCTTGAAACAACTGGGATGCTGGCATATGTAGGGCTTCTCTCCGGTGTGGCTGCGAAGGTGGATCTTCAGGTTCTCCAGACGGGAAAATGCTTTACTGCAGCCTTCAAACTGTAAGACAGCACCCATTCACACAGATATATGAAGAAACAAGTCATCACAAATATCTGCAGGTCCTTCACTGTATGAGAATGTACATATACATGCAACTATGACTTATAGTCAGTGGCAGAGGGCACAACATGCTTTTCATGTAAGCTGGAATTAATATTAATTAGAGGATGATATTAAACAGAAGACAGATGGTTTTGGTGAAACTATTTGTCACTTAATGCCATTCCTAAAAAAAAAAAAAAAAAAAAAAATTTCCATGTCTTTTTTTAACACTCAAAATGATACCCGTGTTGAAACAGAAAATGCTTTTGCCACAGGGACAGTTATGTAATGGTAGTCCACCCAAAAATGAAAACCCTGGCATAATTTACTCACCCTCATGTTGTAACAAACCCGTATGACTGACTTTCTTCCATGGAACACAAAAAGAGAACCTCTGAAGAATGTTGCTACTAAATTCGTGCGACTTCTATTTGTGTGCAAGTTCTTCTGAAAAGACTGAAATTTAAGCCATTATTTACTCAAACATCATTCAATTTCATTGTATTAGCATTAGCTGTTCAAGTTAGCAATAATTAATTCAGAGTTCCACAGAACATTAGACAGCAAGAAGAAAGAAAGTCATACGGGTTTCGAAAGTCAAGCTTTAACTGCTTTAAGTTGAAATAAATAATAGATCTCAAGCCACATAAAACTGTAAAAGGTTCCTTTAGTTGGGAATTGCAAAAAGTGCCATTTGTGTTGTCAATTCATGCACATTTATGTTCTGAAGATCCACACACAAGCACATGCCACTCGACAAAGTTTATTAAACAGACATGTTTAAAGTTGGTTCCTGTTAGAACAACGCTCTGCTAAGATGTTTGAGTTGGAGAGAGGCCAGCGAGGGAGTCAGTAATAAGCCTGGCAGATTCAAGGTGGCAGCCGCAGTCATGCAGACTTTTGGTTGGAGCAATTCTGCAAAATTATAAAACACATTTTGGCGGTCACAGGTGTGATGTCATGATGAGGTTATATGAAAAATGAAAAGGGTTTCATTGAGAATCCTTATATCTATGCATTTCTAACTAAATTTAAATTAAGTTGACCTTTACATTTATTAATTTAGCAGGCATATTTATCCAAACTAAATACACTTTTGGTGAATTACACTTACAAATGAGTTACGAATGTAAAAAAGCAATCATCTCTGTCTACGAGACAATTTCTGAATGTATAATATACTCTTACTTTAAAAAAAAATGTTTGATCTTTATAACACAGTAATAAAAAAGTAAATACGTTTACAAATAACATGAATGTTCACTTTGTATTGATAGCTATGCTGTGTACAAAAAAGTAGACCTATTTTAAAAACCACAAGGTTACATAATCCACCTACAGTGTAAAAATCTGAATATAGTTCCCAAATTATAGTCCTTAGGCCTCCACAGTTTAAAGAGAAAATAAAGCAAATAAAAACACAACATAAATATATCTATAAACACACACAAAAAAAAAAATATATATATCCCATGGCTATCTTACATCACTAAAAAGAAACACATTTTATGTGGCTCATTGTGAAGGAAATGAAACACAGCTTCATTAAAGTGGTGAATTATTAAAGTTTATCCCTGCCAACAATAATATATTTGAGCATGTAGGCTAATAGACTATAACACATAATGCAGTAACTGTTAGCAGTTATATCCATGTATTATATATATATATATATATATATATATATATATCAGCAAATCCCTCTGCAAAAATAAGAGATGGAATAGTATTAAATAAAATTCTTGTTCTTATAATTCAAAATCAGCTAACAGAGCATAAGGAAACAGAGCAAGGAAAGAGATGTTTGGCTGTTCCCTCACATTGCATGAGGGGACTCACAAGTCACACTTGTTGACCTAAAGAACAATTAGAAAATTAAGTTACAAAAAAATCTTAGTCTAATCTTCTTCAAAGTTATCCTGGAATGAGTTGGCTAAATTGATCATTGCATGATATCAGACTTCAAGCATCTCTCACGAAGGCAATTTGTATGTAAACTATAAACAATTCTAAAATGTCTAAATCTCTCAAATCTGCAATGCATCCATCTTTGGGGGTGATGAGAGATTGATTCCACATGTCAGTATTTCACAAATGTCTTACTTCAAAGAATTGGCATGGTTTTAAAGAAAAATTTCCTGAACTTTTCCTGATTGATACAAATATTAGTAAAACAACACCGGAGTCAGAGTCTGGCACAATTTTATACTTGTTTAAGTAAGCAAAAAAGGGTAAAAAAAAAAAGACATCAGAAAATTATGTTTATGCAGCTCACCAAATATCATTTATAAATTTCTATTAATTTTATCTAAGATTTTAACCTTATTAGCAACTGTTGTAATAAGGATAAAAATAGCATAAATCGGTTTGAATAATAATAGCATGGTAGATCTAGTTTGGGACAAAATGTTTGTTTGTAGGTGTCGATAAATTCAGCTTTTCAATGAAAAACTTTTATCTTTGATTGATTACTTTGGTAACAGGGTTGAATATTTTAGCTCAAAAAAATAAGTCAACGCTACAGTTTAGCCACTTTTCCACCATCAGGCTGAACGATTCTAAGAACGTTAAGGGACAGTTCCAGTTATATTTCCACTTAAGCTCGGTTCGGTCTGTTCTCGGCTAACCGGGCTGTTAGAATGCATGTAGTAACGTTGCGACTCAGGATTGGTCACTTGTCTTGTCTGGCTGCAGGCAGTGACGGGGAAGTTACTTTTAAAAAGTAGTGCAACTCATTACTCGTTACTTTTTTTTTTAAAAAAGTAATCCGTTACTTTACTTAGTTACCACATATGGAAAGTAACTTTTTACGTTACTCGTTACTTTTACGTTGCTTGACTTTGGTCAGAACCCAATATCTGTTCCTAAATGAAATAAAGGCCTACACAAAGTTCTACTATGCATAATGCCATATATAATGCCACAAATGCATAATGCATTTATAAAAAAAAAATATTTATGAAGAAATGCCAGTTAATGGATAGGCATATGCATGGGCGACGTAATGGGGCAGTTAAGCAATGAGAGCGGTTTGGCCTGACCATAGCTTTTGTGTAAAAACCATGAAAATGGAATTAGATTGTTAAAATTGTTTTCCTAACATGCAGCTCAAGATGATGTTTGTGGAATTTTGGGAAATTTTTTTGTATGCTCTGTTCATGCAAGGGCAAATATGCATGTATACGGCAAAAAAAAAAAAATAAACTCACCGTGCATTTATTGGGCTTCTCACCAGAATGGACTCTCATGTGAATGAGCAGTTTGTATCGAGCATTGAAGGGCTTGTGCTGACGGACACATCCTCCCCAGAAGCAGGTAAATTCCTCCCCTTTTCGCTGATCTATGTGAACTTTCTCTATGTGTCTCACCAGTTCTTCCTTCTGTCCATAGGTAGCCCTACAATCCATCCATTTACATGGCTGTTCTTCCCTCAGGTGTCCATTCATTCCATCAACTCTAGGCATCCCACTCAGTGCCAAACCATTCTTGAACTGCTGCTGTGTGGGAAGCTCTTCAGCATTACGGTGCTGGGTTTGTTCCTTGGCTGTGTCCGAGTCAGCGCAGAGATATTGAAGCAGTTCTTCCTTGTGTAGAAGCTTCTTGTTACAAAGAGGTTCTTGCTTAGGAGACTTGGAATACAAACATCCTTGTGGAGATTTCTCCTGTGGCGTGAAACTGTAGAGAAGGTCCTGGGCCTCAGGTGGACCGCAGAAAGTTGAGAAAGATGGAGAAGTCAAACATAGCTCTGACATTGAGCCAGATGAGTGGCTGGAGGAAGGGGAAGAGAAGGATGGAGAGAAGGTACTGAAAGAAGACATGGAAAGAGAAGAGCAGAATAAGGAAGGGGACAATGGGTCGCTAACGTGTGATAGGTTATCTCCAACCGAGTGATTGCAGGATGAATCACTCTTAACCCCGCTGAAATACGACACAATGGCACTTTCTGTGGAACAGACCAAATCGACATCATCTGTTCTTATCGACACAGGTGACTCAGACAAGCTGCACATCTTCAGACCTTCCAGGTGAATTGCTTGATTTAAAGAGGAAAGGTACTTTTCATCACTGTTAACCAGGCCACACTGTTCCAGCTGTGCAACCGCTGGGCTGAGACCAGCAGGCCTCATGATGTTCTTCAAGTTACTTTCCCTCTGAATGTAGATCATCAAACGGCCACTGTAGAAATGATTCAGGGGTCTCACAAATGTTTTTTAAGTAGTGATGCACCTGTGATGATGCAACCTGTAAAAAACATCAGAAAAATGAATGCATTTGGACAGTGAATTCAAACAAGAGATATCAGATCAAGTGTGTTCGTGGAAGACCTCAAGAGGAACTGGTGCATGTTGAAGCGGAGTTTGGTGGTTCCATCTTCTACACTCAGAATGCAAAGCGCTGTTCAACCCCTTTCACCAGTCACTATTTACTACAAAGGGAAAACAATTTTAGGGTAATAATTATAATTAATATAATAATTACAATTACCAGGTAAACAAGAAAAGATCACATCCTCAAACTACTGTTCAAGTTGTTTTTGAAATGAAATTACTACTTTTATTAAGCAAAGATGCACTCAATTTATCAAAAGTGACCGTAAAAGACATTTATAATTTTACAAGAGATTTCTATTTCAAATAAATCCCGTTCCTCATCAAAGAACCCTGAAAAAATTATCTAAGTATCCACAAAAATATTAAACAGCACAACCTTTTTCAACATTGATAATAATTGAAGAGTTCAGATGCAAAAGCCTCTAAATGCCATTTGAAATGTTCTTCTTTAATGATGATTTTTATCAAACTTGTATATTATTTAAGTTCAGTAATTTCACTTAAATAACAATTCATAGGTAATTATCATTGCCATTTAAGTGAAATCACTGAACTTAAATATACAAGCTTGATAAAAATGATCATTCTAGAAGAAAATTTCAAATGGCACTTAGAGGCTTTTGCATCTGAACTCTTCAATTAGAAACATTTCTTGAGCAGCAAATCATCATATTAGAATGATTTGCGAAGGATCATGTGAAGACTGGAGTAATGATGCTGAAAGTTTTGCCTTCCCATCACAGTGATGCATTACATTTTTAAACATATTCACATAGAAAAGTATTATTTTAAACAGTATTTTTAATCAAATAAATGCACCCTTAATGAGCATCAGATACTTCAAACATTAAAAAAAAAATATTACAAACCCCAAATGGTAGTGTACATTTTTCTCTTTCTATTTTTTTTAGAAACCTGAATTGACAATCTATCAATTTACTGCCATTTCTCCTTACAGTAAATGTTTTCTGTAAATGAAAAGAGATGTAGTGATGGGTCACAGTGATTTTCTCTTAGAGAATGAGTGGAAATAAATAAATGTAATTTGCAAATCATAAATGATTAAATGTCATATATGCAAAATAGATATTATACTTAAATCTGATAACATATTTGAGTAATGCTGTGCTCACAATGACAGCGATTAAATAGGTGGAGATCACAGAGTCTTCAGCCATCACACGGTCTCGCATAGTAACAAGAAAATAAACCATTTTTCATTGTGAATCTCAGTCAGTGTGAACTTCCTTTTAAAACTAGTCGTAACTGTACAAGAATGCCTATGTCATGGCAGCTCATCTTAATGGATGATGCCACCTCACCTAGCTCCACAGGGCAAGGGGTGACGTACACGACCACTGAGATCAGAATCACATGGCAGAATGCATTAGTAGCCAATGTGGTTAAAGAAAAAAACAACTCTGTCACTCTTCTCATGTATTGGACTTGGTCATGGTGTTTGTTTTGCTTCTCTTTGAGTGTGAAAGTTGTTCAGACACACTGGCCCAGTAAAGAGAAACAGAGAGACATTTGTGCCCAGGCAGGTTGGTTGAAACCTCTGGCAGTAAAAGATATAGAGATCTGGTAATGCAGATATATTCTTCTAATGTACCACATCCCTGAGCTAACGAGAAGCAGACCTGGAACAGTGGGGAATGGTCTTCAAAAGGTCTCGCTGTCCAACAGTTGAACTACTGTGCTGAGTTCATGCACGCTTTAACACGCCGCACATATTCGATCAAGTGATCCAGTGATGTGCTGCCATAATTGGGCTGGCAAGAGGATTTTGCTGATAAAAATAAAGAATAAAAATAAAGAAAACAAATGCGCATAATATTTGTAATGATTACTTCAATGAGCTCATTGTTTCTGCTTAAAATGAATACATGATGTTAGCTAACTGAGTGATTTGTATATGTACATTTCTAATATATTACTTGGACACAGTCACCTCTGATAAAAGATCACTAAAATATAATGTAGACATGCATTTTCTGTAAATATGCTTTTGAATATGTATTGTTGAAAAGACGAGCTATAAATAGGAATTGAATAATAAAATAAGAAATCTCAAATAAGATTTACTGGACACACAGCATCTTCACCTTTTGCACAATGAATCTTTTTATCAGATTCCTTTATCAGAATAATTTATTAAAATTCCTTCCAACCAAGTGTTAGGAGGAGGAAATTAAACACCTCAGCTAAATTCAATTTTCTACCAGACATTCAATGTTATTTAACCCTTGTGCTGCATTAGATTTTTAACACCGTTGAGTGCATTAAGGACCAAAAATGGCCACATATTAAACATTGCCTAAAATGTTATTTATTATTATTATTTTCCACTTTTACCAAGTTAAATCTTTTAACCAGCATCAGTCCTCATCATAACTACCAAAAATGTATTCAATTTCAGGATTTTAACCCTTTAATTACCAGTTTTGTTTGCGAAACCATCGATTTGTATAAGAGGAAAAAACACAAAAATTCAATTATTTTCAATAAACTAAATGCAAAGAGAAAACTTTAGATTTGGATTATCACAGTCCCACTTTGCAAAAAAAATCCCACTTAGCGCATTAGAGACCAAAAATGGCCACCTATTAAACATTGCCTATTGCCTAAAATAAGGTGCATTTCCACCCATAGGGAATAAATATGTAGTGACGTCATCTGGTGGAATACACTATATAATGCAAATATAATGCTTTTGCTTCAAAATGAAAGGATGTTTGTGCAAAAATCATGTTTCATGTATTACTGACAGCCTCAGATTTAAACAACTTTTTAATGGGTTTCAATGGGCCATTTTTGGTCTTTATGGTGCTGAGTGTTACTATTTGATCTACACAGTGTGTGTTATACATATTTTGCAAAATGGGATCACATTTTTTACATGTATCCAAAAAGTCACAATTTTGCCAAATTTCATACCATTTGCATTAAAACAGCCAAAATGGTCAAAGAAATTAAACTGCAAAAGCCCAAAAATGTCCCTAATGCAGCATAAGGGTTAAAGGAATGTTGTATCATTCACTATATAATATTTTATTATCATTCATTTTAAGAATGATGCTGAATGAAATAACCTGCAAAACAATTGGCTTAAAAACTAAGTTTTGAAGGAAACGTCAACAAATTCATAAGACTGAGAACCACATAATTTCATTTAAGGAATTCTCTCTTTTATAACCACAGATTGCTAAACACAGCTGTGTAAGTTGACTGGAAAATTAATAATTATTAGTTTTCATTTTCAGAGTACTTCTATGCTAGAACAAACATTATGATCATATTATAAAATGTGCCGTGGCACGACAGAATCATTAAACAAATGAAAATTATGTTTTCATTTGCTTGCTTGCTTTTTTATAATGTGGTGTAATGTTGTGTAAATTATGGGACAAACTTGTGGCTGGGATGTTTATTGTCTACAGAACGGCTAAAGGTGACATAAAGGTTTAGTTCACCCAAAAATGAAAATTATGTCATTAATGACTCACCCTCATGTCGGTCCAAGCCCATAAGACCTCCGTTCATCTTCAGAACACAGTTAGGATATTTTAGATTTCTGTCCCTCCATTGAAAATGTGTGAACGGTACACTGTCCTTGTCCAGAAAGGAAATAAAGACATCATCAAAGTAGTCCATGTGACATCAGTGGGTTAGTTAGAATGTTTTGAAGCATCGGAAATACGTTTTGGTCAAAAAATAACAAAAACTACGACTTTATTAAACATTGTATTCTCCTCTCTTGGTAACCAGAGAACACGTCAGCAGCGTCTTACACCACCAGCGTCACTGCGGACAATGGTGGGACAGAAAACTCTCGGACTAAATCTAAAATATCTTAAACCGTGTTCTGAAGATGAACGGGGGGTCTTATGGGCTTGGACCGACATGAGTCATTATGACATAATTTTCATTTTGGGGTGAACTAACACTTTAAGCAAATCTGCTTTGTTTCTCTTATTTATTAGTTCGCAGCAGGTGCCAGGCAGCTGTTAACAGAACAGAGGGAAAAGACATAATTAACTGTGATGTTAAGGTTTGGAAAGCATTTTGTCATTTTCAACTCTGCCACTTTCAGCAAGCGAGACATCTTTGAAGTGAATTCAAGGACATGATTCCAGCTAAACTATCAGTACTAGCTCTACCAGACACCAGGCCTGGCCTTGAAGGGAGGAATAATACCACTTACCAAATTTACATTTACATGTATTGCAGATACTTACATTTAAAGAGACTTACAAATGAGAAACATCACAAGCAGTACTAATTTATTCTACAAAAGCCAACATTACTTGGTAAGTTTCAATATATATTTCAAGAATAAGAAGCTATAGCAAAAAAACAAACAATTGTAATAAAAAAGATTGATTAATAATAGGATTTTGTTTTTACTACAATAGCAAATAATTGATCATTCTCACCCGCGAAGCAAAGGAGTGCAGTTCAAACTCCTCACTAGCAAGTTACTAATCCAGTAAATGATACTACAGAGACAGAAGAAACTGCTTTTAAAATGTACTGTATCTTCATACACGTCCAACTTAAGTTATCACCATGATTAACACTGAAAAAGTTAAATCAATGCATAATAAAGGACTAATCTAATTATATCAGGGCCAACAAGAAAAGCCTTTCTATGTGTCTCTCTTTAGTATTTATTTCTCTATTCTATGAAAAAACATTTATGCATGTCAACTTGCAAGTATTCATTATGAAAAATTTTCAATGACTATGTTTAATCTGCTGTGACAAAATACAGACAGTTATTTTATTCTATCTAAAATATCACTTTCTCATCCAAACCCCTGAAATCGGTCATAATGCTCTTACAAATCATTACCCACATCACACATCATCATTAAATATTCTTTGTTAAGTCAAGTTGGTTATGTCAGTTGTGTGTGTTACACATATAGAGAGCTTTAATTTCATTTGTTACTAAACCGCGGCCTACCACTGTAAGTAACTTTATCTGCGGGTGTTGTTGTTGGACAGTGTAACAAAAAACGAGTAATTTATACAAAGTCACATTTTGTAATATTGGCTTTGTTTTATCTTTGTAATATGGATTATTTTCTCA